TAAGTTTCTAGGTTTACTTAGTTATATGTCTGAGTTCTTATTCTTAGCAATAGTCTTAAACTATAAAACCTTTTTCATTTATGTAAAAAGTTTTCATTAAGTCTAATAAAGACAAGAGCATGGTCTTACCTTTAACATTAAAAAAAAAATAAAATAAAATACTACTTAGCTGATTACTATCTGTATTTATTAATGATTAAATGAACATCATAAGATCTTCTTTTTGCTATTCAAGTAGAAATTTTAGTAAGTGCGATGTATCAGATCCAACAACATTTTTTTCACGCTTAATTTTTTGGATTGCATTTGATAAATCTTGTGTAAGAAAAAGTTGACTAGGAAACAAAGGCTGTAATAAATTTCTTATAGTATAAGCATCGCAATGGCCATATACAACTGTACATTCAATTTTATTCATTATAGACTTAACAAATTTTCAAAATGCTATAGCAAATCTCAGATTATTAGCACTAATATTATGGTTATGCTCAAGATATACAAGTGTTATATACACAAAATTGCTGGTTTCCAGATTACTCAAGTTAACATGCCATTTACAGTCAGTTTTTTTTTAATTCTTTGTTACATTGTTGCTCTATTGGTTTTGTCTTGTTAGGTTTATACTTTCCAGCATTCTTACATACATATGTTCTTTTTTTAACAGAATCATTTAATGGAGTTAAATAAGATTTGTGATATTCAACTCTATACTAGTTTACTACAAATTCTTTTTGGTGGCTATACTCCTTTAAGTAGTGCTCAACGATTGCCCAAGAATTAAATTGTGTTCCAGCAGATAATTCTATTGATTGATTTATATAATGCTTTGTAAGGTCAAAGCCTTCCAACTCCAACCCAAGAACAGGTGTATTAATTTCACTATTGCTTTCAAGAGATATAGAGCCTCAAAATATTTAAAAAGCTAGTGTTAATAATTTACTATATTGTTATACTTTCTGATTAGTACATTAAACTAACCTTTATTAATTTCTCTAGTTTTATTTTTCATATTTTTGCCTTTCGTATTTTTGCCTTCTACAGCTTCACTAACTTCGCCTTCTATATCAACAAGCTCAACTTCTACATCATCACCTTCCACAGATTTATCTTTCACAAGTTCAACTTCTACATGATCGTCTTCTTTAGACTTGTCTTCCAAAAGTTCAAAAGCTTCACCTTTTACATGCTTGGTTTTCATGTATATAATTTTCACATATTCATCTTTCATAGTTTTATTCTTCACAGGTTTGTCTTCCATCAATATACCAAGCCCAGGTTTATCTTGCAGCATAGATTTACCTTCAAATAGTTTCTTGAAACATGCAAGCAAGAGGTTTGTAAAAATAAGTATATATATTTAAACCCTCTGCAAAAATAAACCATATCATTATTTACTTATGTAGAATATAAGTTCTTAATTAGCTTTCTGTTTTATATAGCATACAGAGATCTTTGTTTATTGTTTATTTATATTCATACATAAGAGGTATTTTAGCAAAAGAAAAAAAAGAAAAAAAAGCATTGTCTCCCTTTATAGTTGTTTATCTCTTGCACAATTAAACTCCATTGCGATATTGTAATACGATCACTAATATTTCTAATCTCTGATCTGTATTATGATGCGATATACCGCACTATGCTTTAAATAAATTTACCCATAAAAAAAACTTTATATAATATATTTTTTGACTACTATAGCTAAGAATAAAGTATATCTTTCTTACTTTACTTCCAACAATACTCTCTTTAATCACAATTATTATAATATCCTTAATATTTGGGATATTTAATTTCAATACCTCA